TTAAATACACTTACCGAGGACTCTAATAAATCCTAGAAGACTTGATTGAATGACAAGTCTCAAGGCATTTAAAATTAATTCGTGTATTTTTATTGATTGCCACCATACTCATCTAACATATTTAATTTAATTTTCTAAGCTTTTGTGATATAGGTACCTTTAAAGCTCATATGGATTGTGCTTACTATTTTAACAATTGCGTATGAGGCTGAGTACCTTGTTTTTTACGCAGCGTCTCCTTCGGACGTGATTGACAAAAAGAGCATTTCAGGTCTAATTGCCTAAAAATAGTTTTGGAATCCGAGGAATTGAGGAAATATTGCAGAATCGCAGAAGTGGAAATCTGGTGGGAAAAGTGGTTATTAATTCTCAGGGCCACGACAATCCTTGGTCCCTTCCCCCTTCAGCAAAGCTGTTGGGCTTGTTTGGGCAAATCCCGTTGGTTCATCAAATAAATCCTTTTGTCTCTTTTGACGTCGTGCTACTCGCTTTAATCAAAATGGCTGGAGCGGCACAACAATTTAAACTTCAGAGTTAACGACGAGATGAAGACTCTAAAAGGGATTTTATTCTAGAATTTTGCTGCACATTATTACATGTTTCTCTTGAATACGTTGTGCGGAAATATGTGAATTCTTTACGAGTTAGAAAAAAGAAGAAGTCAAGAGAGTTCTCCGATCAAAATAATAGTATATCGGTGCATACGCGTAATATTTATTTTTTTATGAAAACGCCTATCACCGGCATCAATACTTGTTCCAAACATGTTATTATTAAATTATTTCATGAATTTCCAGCACAAATAATCACGCTTGAAACTTTTTGGTTGCATTTACAACCTGATGTTTCGAAAAAAAGCGGGAAAGAGAGAAAGAGGATGAACGAGAAAAAAATGAAAATACTAGCGAATGTCATGCATGAGGTTGATAATTTCAGTTACGGTTCTCTCTAGTTTTATCTACACACAGTTTTATCTACAGCCGTCATGCACAAATTCGTCAGTAAAAAAAGTAAATTTGTACGATCATTGATGGCCACCACTCGATACCACTTCTCCAGGTACATCTAAAATAACCCATCCGAAATTTAAAACTTCACGATTTAAAGTCATTGAACCAGTTGTTCATGGACAGCATAAATGTCGCAATCACATTTACTTGAAACCCCGTGATTTTAAAATGAATTATCGACTATCACTCCATCAACGATCTGCGACCAGTGATTAAACGTGAAAAAACTGGTGCGCCTTTAAATGCGCTTATAGGCAATTTGAGCTCCGCCGTGTTCGAATAGTTGTATGTTACATATTGAGCGCGAGTAACACAAACTTATCACTTCAACTCTTCCTTCTGCAGTTACACCAGTCCAAAATTCACTGAGAACGATGACTGAAATACAGTAAACACGATGGAATACATTATTTATGACTTTAAAAAATGCAGGTATTTTATGAGTTATTTACTTTTAATACATGTTTGGCATGGAAACACGTGTAAAATGATAGGGAATATACCATATTCACTATTCGTGTTTTATTTTCGAATTATGGATCTTATATCGACTCTTTTCGGAAGAAATATCCAAAATGCAAAAATATTAATTTCGCGGAGGACACAATGGGGTCCCTCTGAGACACGAATTACTTTAATATTAGAATGTGTATACAGTAGAGACCTGTTTAAGATAATATCATTGTAAAATCCATACTCATCACTCATTTAATTCCACAAATTTGTGTCTAGCTTCAAAATCTAAATTGGGAACACGTTAACAACTAGGTGCTTAATAGGTGAATAAATTAATAGGCGCTAATGGGCGCTAGATTTTTGGCAGTGGTTATCGTGAGGCTATTAAATGTAACCAAATGCATGATCAACAATGACAGAGGTAATATTACACTATAGGTTTGAGTCCGTTTGAGGATCACATAAAAGAGGTGTATAAGGGATCTAGTAATCACAAGCATTCTCTATTTTATCCGTTTGTTGGTGATTTGTGTTTTCTAATCGTTCAGAAAAAAAAAACATCGATCTTTGAATGCAATGGTCAAATGACACATGCATAGCAAAAACAATACTGGAGTTCACGTTGGACACACTACTTGGGAGCTGGGACAGGCACCAGGACTCGACAAGTTCAAAGAGAGAACACGAGAGAATTATCGGTTCTGGGTCGTTTAACACCCTTCCCATCCACGCTGTCCGCGGAAGGTCGACTTACCCTTGCGCACACTGCGCTTCCTTCGAGTCCGACCCCGTTTACTCAAACATGCGTTAAAATTGTATGCGATTATTTTAATTGAGTTGTGTGAAATTCCCTATGATTTATTCCTCGTTCGAATTCTCTTCCGGAGCCATAGCCGAGCGCTTCGAGAGCCTCAGCTACGTTGTCGGCTGACATCAAAATCTTCAGAAGATCAGCANAAAAAAAAAAAAAAAAAAAAAAAAAAAAAAAAAAAAAAAAACATTGGATCTCGAGTCCAGACTCTTAAAAACATCGACAAGAAAAAGTACTCTTGATTCAGTCAGAATCTAGCTTAAATCAAGTACCAAGCCTTTTAATTTAAGCGGATTTCGTTTTGATTCAAGCAAAAATCCGATTGAATCAAATGTATTTTTTCTTCTCAATGTTTTCAAGAGTCTGAACTCTAGATCCAATGTGTTTTTTTCCAGTGTTTTGTGCAAGTAAATGTATCTGAATTATTTAAAAGAATGTAATTTAATAGTTGGAAATATAAATCAAGAACATTATTTGACTATCTTTGATGAAAGTTTTCAAGAGCATTATTGAGAGAGGAGAGAAGAATTACACTTCATCTTGCAATAAGGAACAACAATTTCGTGCTCATTAGTTTATCTATACAGATGTTTTTATGATCCAAATTCGTAGTTTCTTGCTGTAAAATGAAGAGCATATAATTGTCTGCCATAACGCGATGATTATCCAGCTTTCATAAAAGAAAACTTGTTCGGAAACATCCGACTTTGCATATGAAGGTACCAATTTTCATAGATTTACCATCGATATGTGAAAAAAGGGCCCTCAATATGGTTGCTTTGTTAATAAGTAAGCGGGAAAAATGTCGAAAAAGTATCAACCATAAGTCTCCTCCAATTCTGAGCTATAAAGGCAAACCTCTATTGCTAAAAGTTATCTAAAACAACAATAATTCACTTTACGTCTTCAGAATGTGAAATTAATTTAATTAGATTAGATAATGCGCATAATTTCCGTATTTATACTCGTTTCATCTTCAACATCATCTATGAAAAATATTTGGAGCAAAAATCACACCAGATCCATGAATTGACAGTATCAGGCTGAATATTTTATGATAAATGATTGATTAAACTACAGGTTGTAATCCTACAAAAAGCTGTATTTATTTATATTAATTATATTAATTTATTAAAGTGCCATTTTTTCAATATAAGGAAAATATGTTCAATATTTTTGCTTCGACATGACAAGTCTTAATTGAAACTATGCTCTGAAAAACAAGTGGCAACAAAGGGCTAGAGACAGGAGAGGGCACTTGGAGTTCACTCGAGAGGAAAAGTAGCTTTGTTTTTCCATCATCGTAAGTTGAATATCGTTACTCGTTCGACCGGGCTGTCAGCGACCCCGGAAGCTGGTCGTGTGTCATACGAGAGTCCGAGCATTTACCCGCTGCAGCACTGAGTTCGCAGGGATCCAACAGTTGCCGCTTCAGCTGAACAGGCTTTTCCGCCTTTGGAATGAGCATGAAACATTTGCATTTGGCCTTTCTTCAATCGGCGTGCTGTTCGCTTAGGCAAGATCATGAATCTTGATCGATTTATAGGAGGCAGAATCTATACGAAGCCAAAGGAATGCCTCCCATTTCCGAGGTAGGGCAGAAACTACCCTCAATGCAGCAGTACTGCCGTGCTAAGGAAGCTATGAGCTATGAGTCTTCAGCCGTTGCCAAATTTCCTTTGACAAAACGCGGATTTTCTGGTAAATTTATGAATATTTTCATCCCAAGTTTTCAGATAATTTAGTTCACAATTTTACCTATAGATCCTGAAAATGTCGAGGAAAAATATTCGCAACTTTCCTCAAAAATGAACATTTTATCGAAGGAAATTCGGCAACTCTCGAATGTTCATACGGCGTTCTTCCTTAGCACGGCGGAATAGTTGGCGCTTCGAGGATGCGCGTATTGCGTTGTCTTCAAAGTTTATGCTTCGCATTGAATAATATTTTTAATTCCACTTAATGATTTTGAGACTGGATCTGCTTTTCTAAACATGTCGGATGATTGACAACCATGAATTTGACTTTGAACAAAGTATACAATTCAAAATGTCCGTATTTATGGTCACTTTGGGTTAACTTCAGTTACGTGTTTTTCGGTTAGATGAACCAAAGAGACTTGATCAATTGGACTCAATCGACCAAATTCAGCACGGAGAAAAAAAACTCGTGCGTGGGACCCGAAGTTTAGGTCATATTGATAAAGAAAACCACTTTTTTGTCGATGCGGTTCGGAAAATACACCGGATCTTACAGGCTTATTCCGAATGAGGTCGTCATGACCGAGGGCTACAATATTTGCGCGTAACGAAGCAACACGACAGCTCCTTTTCACAGCGCATGAATCACATAACAGGCCTCGGTGACCCTTGAAAGAGCCTTCCGCGAAGCGCCCGAAGAGTGCGTTCCAATCCTTTACCCTCTGTTCGGCGGTCAGTCGGCCATTGTCGCGGAAAAAGGCGGAAAACAAACAGGCCCCGTCTCACCTTTGACTCGCTCGTGCCTTTGAGCCGAGTTTGACGAAAGCACTCGAAACGAAATCCCTGCCGCGACAGGGCTGGCGCCGGCGCCAGGGCATTTTCCATGCGCAGGACACCAATAACGTGCAATGAGCAATTCAAGCAGTGCAGTCAAGCACGGGACTAGAACCGTGGGAACTGCCGAGCGGCCTCCAGCGGGATTGACAGAGTTTCATAGCTCAGGTAAACAGGTGAAAAGGTGAGATGGAGATGTCAGTTGTCTCTCTCAGTAGATCTTGGATAGTCGGGGCGTTTGTGATCTACCTGGTGGACTGGTACCTGGTAATTAGATTGGACAATTCTCTGGCGTCTGAAATAACGATTTTCATTTATGAATGGAAATTACTGAATCTGAGCGAGCTGACGTCGGGAATATCGATGGTGTAAGTCGGCAATCACATAACTCGGTTTGCGACGTCGCAGACTTCCTGTCATATCTAAAATTTAAATGAAAAACTACTCAACGGCAATTCTCTGAAACTGCCACGATTTTTCTTCTCTGTGCGAAGAAAATTCTGCAAAAACTTCAAGGAATGATGTCAATTTGTTCTTCTTTAAAGAAATAACATAGGGGCGGAAATTTCCAGACATCACAAACGAGATATGTGAGTGCGGACTTACGCCGTCGATATCCTCGATTGATGAATTGCATTATTTTTGAAGAATTTATGACAAAATGGTCAAATCTGTCAATGAACGTGTCTAAATGGAAAATGCCGCCCCATAACGTCAAAGACTGGTATTTTTTTACTGCGATTCCACAAGTCAGAAAAAAGTGTTTTATATACAAACTGTGCATAGCTCGTAAAGTCTTTTCATGCGAAACAATATGGACAAATACAAGTACGAGTAGTTTGAAATATTTTTAGAAAATACTACACTGTAGAAAGTGTTTAGCTCAAGCATGATGACTCTTATTCTTGCGCGAAAAATATGATTTCTTGAATCCATAATGACGCTGCTTAGTTTAAGCTACTTTTTAACCTAACCCGAGCATTTCTCTCTTGTTACTAAAAATTTTGACTGTAGTACCAAGGACAAAAAAAAATTCTTGGTGGCAAATTCAAGCGTCATCTTGCTTGAGCTAAGGCCCTTTTCTTCTCTCAGTGCGATGTCCCATTTGTGAGTTTGGAGTGAATGGGCTATTCTACTCAAGCCCGTGTTAATGAGGACTTTTTAAATGATAGTGAACTTTGATGCGCAAAAAAGTATTATCGTAGGCTTATCTTGTGCCCTGATCAATTATTTATAAGTGAAATTACGCGAAAAACACAATGGCACCATTGATATTATCTGAAGTTAGCTCAAAAACTTTCCATTATGATTGTAGAGTACCCCGCGGTCAGGATGACAGTCTACATTTGTTTATCTGTCAAATTTTCTATGCAGGCAGTGGCAGTGAGACAGGGCTGACATTGATCATATCAGCGAGAACAAAATTGAGATTGAACATGACAACAGTGGATCTACGGTCGGAAAACATTTTATTGCGCACCTTTTTGGAGTGTTTTGTCTGACGTTTGAGCCGACGACCTTTCTCGGAGGAAACATGAAAGGCGCGATCTAGACACCGAAATTTCTCGTTTTCAAGTGAGTTTTGCACAGGTAACTGCTTGCGCGCAGTCAAAACAGAAAACAAAAAGAAACTGCCCGCGAGAAAACAGTAGAAACGTGGATCCGCGATGTCACGCTTGATTTCACGGGAGAAAAGTGAGAAATATTCAGTCGCTCGGTGATTGTGTCACATTAGTCAGGCCTCTTTTTAGCGCAGGTATATTTTCCGAATTTCACAAAATATGCGCCGGAAACGTCATTTAAAACACCTTTATTAAGACAGGTGTTGATGCGAAACCGCTTTTGTAGGCCACGCCGCAGCATATAGGGACACTTTGACATTTTTAGTAAAAATGAAAGTGTAAAATAATACAGAGTACCTACAAGGAAATTTGAATTTTTTAAAGAGTGAAAAGCTCCTCAGTCCAGGACTCACATTGCGGCTCAAAAATTGGACGCAAGATTTTGCAATATGCAGCTACAACATCTGGCTCATTTTAGAAAGAACATATGTGCTATACTGCCGTGCTAAGGAAGAACGCCGTATGAACATTCGAGAGTTGCCAACTTTTCTTCGATAAAATGTGAAATTTTGAGGAAAGTTATGAATATGTTTCCTTGAAATTTTCAGGAAATTTAGACAAAATTGGGAACAAAATTATCTGAAAAATTGGAAGAAAATCTTTTTAGATTTACTAGAAAATTCTTGTTTTATCAAAGGAAATTTGGCAACGCCCGAAGGTTCATACGGCGTTTTTCCTTAGCACGGCAGTATCGGTTTCTCTGTAAAGATAGGGGCTTCTATGGGTGAGCTGTACAGATACGTGCCTAATTTTAGCGTGAAGTTCAATTGCCAGGCTCGAGACTACTACGAAGAGCGTCAATTGGTAGTGCATCGTATCGCAAACCACTTTTTTCGAGTACCAGTTCCGCAGGGACGACCCTTATCACTATCACCCCCAGAGATCACAGCTCGCGGCCGCGTGGCCACTGAAAGGGAGCCGCGTGCGCAACGTCCATCAATACCGGAAGCGACTTTCACCATGAACCGGGTCACCATTCACCAGGATCCTCCCATGACATTGCATCTTGGGTCATCGCATGAACCATCGGCCCAAGTTTTGTGTCAGTTTGTCGAAAAGGAAAAAAAATCGGCTCGTTGGTCACGGAACCGACAAATAGCCTTTAAAAGCGAATTTTATTCGAGGTTTATTTCGAGGTTCAGAATCAGCTCTCACACACCAGAAGCTCTTGGTTATAGGTTTTATTGAGTCCAAATCGCCCCGCTTCGATAACTTCATACGCAATTTTTCAAGTTCCGGATGGAGTATTATGGGTCATAGCTGATCGTGAAAGATTACCTAGATTTGTAGAGTATGAACAGATCTGTAATCCTGAATATCCATCGGGCTCTCAACGATGCTTTTGCGAATAAAATTAGAGCCCGAAAGGACAGCCTATCTATAATTTCAACTTGGATTGCATTTTGCAAGAAGGAACCAAGAGCATTTCAATGTTGCTAGGGTAGTGCAACTTACATTCTTTGCAAAAATGTACTGAAAAAACGCAAAAAATTAAATTTACAAACGTGATTTTCGTCATGACTCATAGTTTATCGGGAGTAAAGATAAAACTTGTTTAGATGATCGGTTCATATTTGTTAAGAAAAAAAAGTTGCACAATCTTTGTGACATTGGACATTGTGCTCTTGGTTCCTTTTTGCAAAATGCGAGCCAATTATCCGTTGTTCTTAACTGTGAATTCACGTTTCTTTTTTTGCTTTTATATCAATTAGGTGCAGGGCGCTAAAATGCGACTTTCTGGAATTTTTATCATTCTGATTAGTTTTGACTATAATAATGGTTGAGGTAAATTTTTAAAACATATTTTCACCTCTCATCTTTGCTTGCCTAGCCAGCCTACTCTCCTCTGAATGTGCAATGACTCTATTTCAGATATTTCATGTGAGATGTTTGGCTGTCCTTGTACTCTACCAATCTAGGTACGCATAGTCTCTAGTATGCTCTAAAGCTATGTTTCCACGATCAAAACAGAAGCTCAAAATAAGTGCACATCTGTATAAGAGGATGTATCAGCAAAATGTGTTAGAACAAGATACTGAGTGTATGCACGAGGAATTATTTTAGAAAGAACAAACATTTATATGCTTTTTTTCTTGCTTTATCACCAAAGATGCTGTGCAATATGCGGTTATCATACCATTAGTTTAGTTTAAGCTTAAATCAACAGTTCTTATCCTTTAAAAGCATCGCTGCGACGAATCATCCGCAAAACGGGCCATTTTTTGTCACAGACCCATGAAAAAAATATGTAAATTTAAGTTTGAAATCCTAAGGACATTGATTTTCCGCACCAGCCGTTTCTCCCTCTCGCTCTTAACTGTTTTAATTCCGGAGTAATTGATATGCAAGATTTCCAGACCTACAAAGTCTCAACTCCCAACTAGGATGCATAATAGCGGAACGGGGCGACTTTAAATTTAAAACCGCCATAAATTCATGCGCGTTTCCTCGAAGAGTCTTCGCTCATCGGTAAGGCGAGTCTTAAAATCCCGAGGAAAGGGAATAAGAGGGGAGAAACAAGCACTGAATTGTGCTGAGACCGAGAGGTTGAGAAAATGAAGATTTCATCCTAAGGACATACCTACATATACCTCAGAGCCAGAGCGCTCCACAAGAAAAATATAGTTTCCTGCATGAACTGCACCACTCCGACTATGAGACATTCGTTTGGGAAAGGCCTTGTTGCCAGGTTCAAAATCCGAGTTATTAATATTTTCCTCGTTTCGTCTTTTTTTCATTTATTGTGACAGCCTTTTGAAAAAGGATTTGGATTTAGTGCCTACGAATAATTGAAATATTCAACCAATGCTTAGAGTATTTCTTAAGAAAATTTGAGCACCAAAAACGCCTAAATTTTTTGAATTAATTAATGGCAGTTAAAAGCTGGAAGATCCAAAATTGATCTACAAGAAAAATGTATATGAAGTTTTGATTTGCTATGTTCGATACTTGAGCCTGCCAGACAAAAATTCAATCATTAAAATTTTCAGAATAATTTATAGTGAATTTAGATGTTGGCATGCTTCTTTTTGAAAACTCTGGAGAATTTCATGCCAAAATTAAAATTTAAAAATCTTAATGAAACAAGTTTCTTCACAACCACAAAATCCCTAAAATTGCTTGAGTATCAATAATCATGAGCTTTTCGGTGTATCGGCGTTTGGTGAAATCGCACCAAATGACACTCTTGAAAAATGATCGAATTAACAATAATATTTAGTGTAATTTTAAGCTCGTCTAGAAACATATTTCCTGTTCCTAAAAATTTAGTTCCAAGTCCTTATTACTCAGTCCCATTTCTAAAAATGCCATCCAATTTTAGTATTTTCAGTTAAGGTCCCCAAAAAGGATTTGATTTTGAAAGAAGCTATTCACAGTGGCAACGCGTAGGGTGGAAAATGAAGATGATATCTATATTAATAAAGATATTTCAGATTTTCGGAGGGTTGGAAAACCCTTTCCTTGCGACAGGAAGTGGGTGATTATGCGAAGTAATCTATATATCAACCCTCGACTTCCTGAATCCATTTCGACCCGGCTGCCTTCCAGCCCGCTCCTCCGCAACCAGCGAGTAGCTCATGCCGCGACTCTTTTGAGCGCTGCAATTAATAGCGACGGCAGAGCCGCTCTACATTTCTGGCTGCG